CTCAGGATTGTTTTCCTTGTCTTTGGTTTTGAAAAGTTTGTTTATATTATATTGCTGTTTTTCTTTGGGGATCTATCCTGTTTGGAGTTCATTCAACTTCTTAAATGGCTATCTTCTTGTCTTCCTTGATATTAGGGAAGCTTTCTTACAAAACTTGTGGACAATATTCGCTACCTTTTTTTTTTTTTTTTTTTTTCAAGTCTTTTTATTCTAGAATTCCAATCACAGGAAAGGTATTTCTCTTGATAGTGTCACATATACATCTTAAGCTTTCTTCAGATTTACTCTTTTTTCTGATTGCTCCTTTAGCAGATGAATGTTTAGAGATTTGTCTTAAAGCTCAGCAATTTAGCCTTCCTTTGTTTGCATTCTACTTCTTTGCCCTTTCAGTGGATTATGCATTTCTGAAGTCTTAGTGTGTTAATCTTCTGACTTTTAATTGCAGTTTTTGTATCATTTCCATGTTTTTAATTTATTTTGTCTGTTTTCTAAATTTGTCTATAGTCTTATCTATGTATTCCTTGATTTTATCTGCAGTTTTCTTGATAATTCTCTTAATCCAGTTGTTGTTTATGTTAATGCTACTGAGTCAATTCTGACCCATAGCGACCCTGTATATGGTTCCCAAGGAGCAGCTGGTGAACCTGAACTGCTGACCTTGCAGTTCAAATGATTTTGCAGTCTGACACATTAGCCCAGAGTGCCACTCTAGGACTCAATCCAGTGAAGGTGCCTAAATAGCATTCTTTTGAATTCCTTATCAAGTAGTTCCAATGCCATTTCTGGTATTTTATTTTCTGACTGCATGTTGGTCACTTGTTTGAGGCACTCTGCTTGTTTCTTCATATAAACTGAAATGGTCTGTTTTCTCTGAGACATTGTTGTGTTGTATTTATATTTAATTCATGATTGTATATTGGTGTATTCTCAGGCACTCACCACCTGTGTCCTGGTAGATGTGATAGAGATGGCAAGTGTAAACACGATTTTCTGTTCAATGCTTGTGTATCAGAATTCAAGGTGAGTTCACGTGCCTTCAGAAGCAGGGGCATTAGGGTTGATACCCGACCCCAGGCAGAGCAGAAGCTTCACAGGAGGGTTTGCCACTTGCTGCTGGGTTGGCAAGGGCAGGGACTGGACACATCCAAAGTTAGCATGAGGGCAAGAGAAACAGGGAGAACTGTTCCTTTCTGCTATGACCCTCCAGCTGCGCCCTGCGCCTACAGGCTCCTGTATTAACAGCTGCTTCCAAAAGCACAAGATGGCTTCATTGCTCCAGTCCATATTCTTCTCTCACTGCTCTGTTTCACTTCCTCTTCCAGTCAGAACTCAGCCCACCTCTCTGTCCTTCCTCTGAAGCTCAGGTTTCCAGGATCACTTGGTCTACTATGTCTTTGTTGCAGAAGGTCTTCTCTAATAGTCATCTGCCTATTCTACCATCCTGCACTGGAAGTCTAGGTCTGTACATTTCCATTTCTCTAGCCCTTCACCAGACTCCTGGTGTGATGATGTAGGATTAGCATTGGACTGCGAAACACAACATTGGCAGTTCAAACCCACCAGCCGCTCCTTGGAAACCCTATGCAGGGTCGATATGAGTCAGAACTGACTCAATATAGTTCCCCCAAAGAATTCTGCACTCTTTCATCTATACCATGTCAAAATGGTAACTTTGGCATCCTTGAGGGACTTAAGTAATATTCCTTTTAAATATTCTTTAGTTTGGGGACTAAAAAGAAGCCAGAAGGGACAAGATCAAGGCTGGAGGGTGGATGGGGTAAGGATTCCCAATGAAATTCTCATTGGACAGCCTTTGCTACACTTGAAGAATGAGCAGAAAATTGTCTTTACAGTTTTTTACTCGGTTCAATTTTCTTGGCCTTTTCTCTCACCAAAGCAATTTCCCATTTTCTTAAAACTTCTTCATTAATAAGCTCCTGTGGCTGTGTTATGTTCAAGAAAATCTATCAAGATTATTGTTGTTGTTGTTAGGTGCCACAGAGTGCATTCTGGTTCATAGTGATCCTATATACAACAGAATGAACCACTGCCTGATCTTCTGCCATTCTCACAATTGTTATGGTGGATCTCATTGTTGTAGCTATTGTATCAACCTATATCATTAAGCATCTTCTTCTTTTTCATTGACCCCTTACTTTACCAAATATGATGTCCTTTTCCAAGGACTGGAGATAACCTCTTTGGAATCCTTAAAAACAAGTCACCATACAGACACAGAGTAGACAGGGATGGGCAACTTGGACATTGGCTGCCCAAAATGAGGTGGGGGGGAGGCTACAAAGGCAAGAAGTGACTGGCTTACAAGCTTTCCAGAGGGAACCTAGATCCAGAGGGTGTGGAGGAAGGTAGACTCTCCACTGAGTAGTATTCAATCTACTACTCCACTGAGTAGTATCCCCCAGTAGGCGGGGCTGATGAAATGAAATGCGGATAGTTCTCTTGTGATACAATAGTGAATAACTGAATTGTTATCAGGACTGATTGTGAGGGTTGGAAATGTAAAGGTAGACGTTTTGTAGCAAGGAGGGGAGTGTTTAACTTTTCAGTCTCTGGGACCATCAAGGGAGAAGACCGGAGAGAGGGACCCTACCCAGAGAAGCAGTGATGCCTGAGATGGAGGCAGAGATGATGACGTGGAGAGATGGAGCAGCTGGGGACTTTAGACCCAGAGAGGGAGAGGGGCTGTGTGCTGACTACCAGGAGGCAGGCTTGTAGTGTATACCCATTGGTTGGGTGATGATGCATGGAGGGGATTGTAACCATGGCAATGAAAGGATATAAGATAGGATGAATGTAAAACTATCTCCCATGTAAACTATCACATAATTCACAATATTAACATTAAAAACATTAAAAACAAAACAAAAAAACAGTCGCCATAACCTTCTGAGTTGACCTCTCTGCCTTGAATTTAACTGGTCCAATAGATTCCCTTGGAAGATTGGACCCTGCTATCTAGATGGTATTGGTGAATCCAAGACTAGTTCCTGGTTAAGATTCATTCCATAAAATTATCTTCATTAGCTTTAATCTTGCTTAAAAGAGTTGTGGAAAGATGAGCTCTTTGAGCTAGCTGAACTTCTTGTGATGCTTTTGGCACCCGTGGAGTTGAAATCTTTCTGAGGCCAAGATGTTCACTTAAAATGAGATCCTAACTTCAGTGGCTATCATATCAATGGTTAGTCTGCAGTTGTCTTCCTCCAGTTACTGGACTGCAGCTACAGTTTTGTCATTTGTCCAGGTTTATGGTCTTCCCTCTCTAGATTCAGCTTTGAGGTCTTCCTGACCATCCTTAAAATGCTTGCCCCATCTAAAAACTCTTTTCTGGGGGACTGCATTTCTGTTAACTTGTTCCAGAGTTTCAATGACTTGTGAAATTTTTACCAACTATGGCACCAGAACATCATGCTTTGTAAAATGTTGTTCTTGTGGTTGTTCTTCTTGCCTGCAGCCAACACAGTTTGCTAAATTATTTTTTTAATCAGTTAGTTTTATTCTTCTGATGAAACAGTTAAATGAACAATTAGCTTACGAAAGAAGATGCAGTCTCTCATTTAGAACAGTCTGGGTTTGACTTGTTTTTAGAGCACCAAAAGGAACTACCTATAACAATGAAATTGTTATTGTTAAGTGCTGTCAGCCCTGTATAGGGCTTCCAAGGAACGGCTGGTTGGTTTGAACCACGAAGCTTGTGGTTACTTGTTGTACTTAAGCACAGTGAAGTTGGTTCCGACTCACAGCAGCCTTATATAGGGTTTCCAAGAGAAGCTGTTGAGTTTGAACCTGCGATCTTGCAGTTCAAACCAACCTTGTCGTCCAGTGTCTACCAGAATTCCAGTGGTTAGCAGTTCCGTGCTACTCCTTCAGCACCACACCAATTGCTGATTAGAGCCGTTGAGTCGGCTCCTATTCTTAGTGACAGACCCTGTATTGGATTTCTGAGGAGCAGCTGGTGGATTTGAATCGTCAATCTTGCGCTCCAGTGTTTGTCCTCGCCAGGACGTCAAAGGTATAGTTGTTGCTGTTATAGTTGTTATGTGCCGTGGAGTCCGTTCCCACTCATAGCGACCCTGTATGGGGTTTCCGAGGCTGTAAATCTTTATGGGAGCAGAAAAAGTCTCATCTTTCTCCTGCAGAACAGCTGGTAGTTTCGAAATGCTGACCTTAAAGTTCGCAGCCCGATTCCTAGCCACTATGCTACCAGAACTTTTTAAAGTATTGAAGAGCAGAGATGTCAGCTTGAGGACTAAGGTGCGCCTCACCCAAGCCATGGTATTTTCAATAACCTCATATGGATGCAAACGCTGGACAGTGAATAATGAAGATCGTAGAAGAATTGATGCCTTTGACTTGTGGTGTTGGAGGAGAATACTGAAAGTGCCATGGATTGCCAAAAGAACCAATAGATCTGTTTTGGAAGAAGTGTAACCAGAGGCCAAGATGGCTAGGCTTCGTCTCTCATACTTTGGATACATTGTCCGGAGAGAACAGTCGCTGGAGAAGGATGTCATGCTGGGTAAGGGTCAGAGAAAAAAAGGAAGACCCCCAACGAGATGGATCAGCCAGGTGGCATTATTGATGGCGTCAAGTGTGGCGGCGGTAGTGAGGTTGGCCCAGGATCGGACATTGTTTTGTGCATGGGGTTGCTATGAGCCGGTTCCGACTAGATGGCACCTGACAACAACAACAACATGCTATCAGAAATAGGTAGGGAACCACAAAGCTGGTGGGAGAGGTCCAGCCTCCTTCTTTGGAAAACCACAGGTCTCCACCCCATTACGCATTGGCCCCGCCCATTATATCTTCTGCGCCTGCGCACTCTCCGAGGCATTCCTCTCTTCATAGGCTATTCGTGGTTCGTCACGCGCAGGCGTAGTGGTATCCCTTGTGTGCTCGGTCCCGCTGAACTGAGGCAAGTATTTCTCAAAGCTCGGCGGCTTCCACCAATTCTCCACGTTTGTTTCCACAGCGCACACGCCATGGGCAAGAGCCGGACGAAACGCTTCAAGAGACCTCAGTTCTCCCCTACGGGCGACTGTCAGGCAGAGGCTGCGAATGCGACTGAGGCAGAGGAGGCCGATGGGCCGGTGGCGGAGCTGCTAGAGAAGGTGAGGCAAGAGACGCGGCCAGCCTTTGGTAAGCCGGGGAGTGTCGGGTTTTATGCGGTCACAGTGTCCAGCAGTTCCTTAGTCGCGCTGCGCGTGCGCGTTTCTAGTCCCTGATCCTTCCGCAGCTCCAGCACCCGAGCGCGGAGGTCCGCGAGTGCGCCTGCGCGGGATTGGCCCGGCTAGTTCAGCACCAGCCAGTCTTCCAGGTCTTTGCGCGCCAGGACGCTGTGCGCCAGCTAGGACCATTGCTTCTCGATCCCAGCCTGGCAGTGAGGGAAACGGCGGCCGGTACGCTCAGGTGAGTTGGAGATGGGGAGTAGGGAGGTGGAGAGCCCGAGGCGTGAGATGCTCCGTGGTGCGCCCCTAACCTCCCCCGGGCCTCATACCCCGGCAAGAGCATCCTTCCTTCAGTGAATTGTCTCATTTCATCCTCACTGCAGTAGTGGGAGCTAGGCCTTTCTGGCAGGACTCGGGAGAGTTCTTAATTACCTATCGAGTTAGCTCACGTTTTGAGAGAGAAGATTTGAAATAAGACACTTGCACTTTAGAGGATTCCTTGATCCCCTGGATCACATGCATACCATATCAACCTGCTGCTTCCCCTGCTACAGCCGTCTGCCAACGCATCTGCACCCTCAAATGTGAGAGCGGTTCTTAGCCTTTCCTTGCCCTAGAAGCCTGAATAGAGTCCTGTGATTGCTTTTAACTGTTTGATATACTTATGCTTGCGTGTATACTGTAGGCCAGTATATGTGCCAGGAATTATTAGGTGCCGGTGATTTAGAACTGAGCAAGACAGACAGCATCCCTGTTTTCACAGAACCTGTGATGATGAGGCAGTCAACAGGCATATATAACACAATACTAGATAGTGAGAAGTGCTGTGGAGCAGTAGAGTATGATGAGTAGGTGTTGGGAAGTTACTTTAAATAGGATACACTCCAGAAGACATTTGAGCCTGAAGGATAAGAGAGCCAGACTTAGGAAAACATGAAGAAGAATATTTCTGACACAGGGAACAGCAGGACCAAAGGAATGAAGGAGCAGAAAAGGGTGTCTCATGGTCAAAGAACCAGAAAGGTTTCTGTGATTGAGTTAAAGTTGGGAACAGGGAATTATAGGAGTTGGGGCTGGAGAGCTGGGCAAGGACTCAGATGATGTAGATTCAGAGGACTAGGCAGTGGAGTGACACCTAATTAACATTTTTAAAAAAGGTTACTCTAGTGACTGTGCAGAGAATGAATTGTAAAGGGGGCAAGAGTATAAGTAAATATTTGTAGATCTTAACATAATTTTCTATTTACTATTTATGTTTCCTTCAGTGGTTTAGCAGATATATATTGCATGCCTTCTGTGTGCCAGGAACTGTGTTCAGCACTCTCTGTGTGATAGTAAGCAAGATAAGAGTATTGGGTAGTCTAATGACAGAAAGGCATTAGCCAAATAATCACATCTGAGTGTAATTGCAATTAATGATAATTACAGAGGATGCTGGGAGTATAAGGAAGAAAATCCTGGGGTTGTGTTGAGATGAGAGCTGAGGGATGAGAGAGTTGGGTTAACTATTAGATGGAGGGGAGTAGAAATCCTTCTACTATTGGGCAGGAAATGACCTCCTGGTGTGGTACTGTAAGATAAGCACTGAACCCCAGAGTTAGTGATTCAAACTCACCAGCTGCTCCTAGGAAACCCTTTGGGTTGCTGTGAGTTGGAATCAGTTACATGGTACCGAACAACAGCAACAACACCAATCATAGATACTCTGGGAACTCCTGGAAGATTGTGGAGCATCTGATTTATCTTTGTATCCTTATTGCCTAGCACACTGCTCTGTACTAAGAAGGCAAACAGTGTTTTTTCAATTAAAGTTGAATATAGCCAGGACTGTTTCAGAAGGTATCATTCTCAGTAACTTGACCTTGAGAGTTTAATTCGTGGAAAAGTCCCCTCCTACTTCCATTTCCTATAGATATGCAGCTGTGTATGGTCTCAGACTTTCTCTTTAGACCTTTGTTGTTATATGACAGTCATTAGTTTGCATCTTACAGAACCTGATTCAGCCCCTTCCAAAAATAAGTGGATTTCCTCTGTGAAACCTTCAGTATGGTTAAAAATAGAAATAAGTTTGAGAGTTTGATGGTGTTTTGTGACGAGCTGAATGTGAAATATATTTTATCTTTTGTAGAAATCTCAGTGCTTGTGGCAGTGTGGATGTTTGTGATGACATGGTGACTAAGGATGTCATGACTCCTCTGGTTGCACTGCTAAAAGAGGTAATGCAGTTTTCAAAAATCTGGATATAGTTTCTAAGTATAGCTTTTTGTGTAAAAAATTTGTATTCTTTTATTTGATTTAGTATTTGATGTTAGCACTTTATCTTCCCTTAAAACATCCCATGGGAAAATAATTTCTTTTCTTGGAAACATTGATTTACTTTGGTTTTTATGCCAGTTTCTATAATTTTGTTCCCGTTAACCTTTATTGAGGAGTCCTAGTGTGGCGCTGTGGGTTAATGTGCTGGACTTTGCTGGTTTGAACCGCAAGGTCAGTGGCTCAGGCTCATCAGCTGCTCCTCGGAAACCCTACACAGGGTCGCTATGGATCAGAACCAACTTGTAGGAACTTAACAACAACAACAGCCTCTGTTGAGAAAGACCCTCCTGAAACTAATTCCTTGAAGCTTTAAACTTCATATAATGAAAGTCAATACTGTTAATTGATTGATTACTTATACATCAGGTATTGTCTGGTGTTTTATGTATTATTTAATCTCTACAGTTGTATTATTCCCGTTTTACAAATGAGAAAGTTGAGGCACACATTAGGAACTTGCCATGAAGATTAAGTTCTCATAATTAATATCACACCAGTCTTATTCCTGATGTGTTCAGGGGTCAAGGAGCTCTTTCTCTGGTGTGTCTATGGCCCTTTATTCTTCATTGATGATTAATTTTCACTTCAGGCTATGTTGTTGTTAAGTTCTCCTGAGTTGATGTCTACTCATAAAAGACCCTGTATAAGGTTTCTAAGGAGCAGTTGGTAAGTTTGAGCCACCAACCTTGTGGTTAGCAATTCAGTGCTGTTCTGCAGTGACACACCAGGACTCCACCCCTCTTGGTGGTGGTGGTGGTGGTGGTTGTGTGCCGTGGAGTTGATTCCGACTCATACCGACCCTGTGTAGGGTTTCCAAGGCTGTAAATCTTTACAGGAGCAGAAAGCCTCATCTTTCTCCCGAGGAACAGCTGGTAGTTTCGAACCGCTGACCTTGCGGTTCACAGCCAGATTCGTAACCATTATACTACCAGAGTTCCTAAGGTATCTCCTCTTGTTAGGGTACCTTTTAAAAAGAAAAAGAATACTTTTTGTGTCATGGGAAAAAGTATTTTTTCAGATTTAACAAATCTCAGATTTGTTAACAAAAAAGAATGCTTTTTGTGTCATGGGAAAAAGCATTTTTCAGATTTAACAAATCTCAGATTTGTTAACAAAACTCAAGTAGACATCCTGCCAAATCACTGAATCTTCAGTTCCATTGAAGTTTATGGGAGTGCTAAAACAACAGTAAAAGATGGATCAGGCATCAAAGACTTCAAAGATAAATTCAAGGCAGAGATGTCAGGTTAGAAGATTATGATGACTGTGTTTTGAGATTCGAAAATTATGATAGATTTTCTTGAAGGACACAGAGCAATCATAAGGGCTTCTTAAGACGTTTTAAGAATATTGAAACCTGCATCAGTGAGAAAAAAGCCCAAGAAGGTTTTGCCGAGGAGTTTTTTCCCATCCCAACAATGCACCTATTTTTTCAAGGGTAACAAGAACTGTTCTATGAGAATGTTGTTGTGGCACCTTGCCCCATCCACCCTACAGTCCTGATCTTGCCCCTTCAGACTGTTTTGTTTTTTTGTTCCTCACACTCAAGGAACATTTAAAAGGAACAATTTGAGTCTGTTGGGGAAGCCTAAACTGCCATTTTGATATAGTGTAAATTGAAGAGTGTAGGATTCTCAGTGGAAAGGTTGTTGTTAAATGCTATCAAGTTGATTCCCACTTATAGTGACCCTATGTAGGGTTTCCGAGGAACGGCTGGTGAGCTTGAATAGCTGACTTTGCATTTCAAACTAACCTTGCAGCCCAGTGCATTAATCTGCAGGACCACACTAGGACTCCGTAGATACATCCTGGATGGAGGCTCTATTGAGAAACAATAGCTTCATATTTTGATATTTTTGTTTAGTAAGGAGCTCTGGTAGCGTATTGGTTATGAATTGGGCTGCTAACATCAGGGTTAGCAGTTCAAAACTACCCCCTGTTCCATGGGAGAAAGATGAGGCTTTCTGCTCCCGTAAAGATTTGTAGCCTCGGAAACCCTGTATAAGGGTTGCTATGAGTTGGAACTGACTCCACGGCATGTAAAACAACAACAAAGGTTTCTGTGATTTTGTAGCAATGCTTCTTGACTTACCATTGTATAATGTAAAGCCTTATACATAGAAGGTGCTATATAGATGTTTGTTGTTGGGTAGATTCTAATTCACGTGGCAGAAGTAGAATAGTTTCCATAGGGTTTCTTGGCTATAATCTTTATAGGAACAGATTGTCAGGTCTTTTATCCTACAGAGAAGTTGGTAGGTTTGAACCACTGACCTTTTAGTTAGATAAAATGCCTTTACTGATTTTTACATTTTTACTAAAAGTATAAAGTACCTTATATCCAGTTTGCACAATGACTGGGAACCTTTCTTGTATATAGCTTTTGCCCCGAGGGGAGTAGTTATTGTAACTGCACTGCTTATGAGATGTTGATTGACTTGTTAACTGTAAATTACAGTGTTTATTTCTTGTGATTTTTCACCATCATTAGGCTTTTTGTTTAATTGTTCTTTTGAATCAGAATGCTAATGATAATGTTTGATTTCAGTGTAGTGCTGTACTGGATTCAAATGAGATGTCGTCACAGGAAAAAAAAGACCAGAACAGGAATACTGTTGAGAACATAGCCAATGAAGCTGTGAACGTGCTGTGGAATATATGGTAAGCTGCTTTTCAAACACAGCATCTTGCTACCATACTACTCAGGCTGCTGGTGTTTCTGTTAAACTACATGGACATCCATTCCCTTTGATAGTACTGGAAATCCTACATAATACTGGGCAAGAGATAATATTGGGTGATCTAACATCACCCCTCTTTCCCAAGTCCTTTCCCTCATAGCATCACAACATTGTGTTTGTGTGTGTGTGCATGTTTGACATCTCTTCTCTCCAGTCATTGCTACTGACTAAATGAGATGAATCATGCCACTTAGTGCACCCTGTTTTCCTCCACCTTCCACATTCTGTAAGCCACAGTTGCATTAAAGCTGGTCAGGTCTCAGTGCAATGGCTGCCTTGGTTCGGGATCTGAAGAAATGTTGACCTCAAGCCTTGACTGGTGCTTTACTTCTCTATTCTGGTAGTTACCACTTGACAGGAAAGCAAATACATGTTTCCTTGGCCCAGTAGGAAGAAGGAGCCAAGCTTGGACCACTGTCTGTTTCATGGTGGTAGCAATGGTTGGGGTGGGGTGGACATGCTGCTAGGAATATAAACTAGAGACAGCCTGAAATTGTATCCCTCTGTTCCATTTTATGGAGTCCTGGTGTGGTGCTGCAGGATAATGAGCAGGCCCACAAGTTCAGTTTGAATGGCAAGGTCGGTGGTTCAAATCCACCAGCTGCTCCTTGGAAACCCTATACAGGGTCGCTATGGGTCGGAACTGACTTGACTGCACTTAAGCAACAACAAATTCCATTTTATGGCCTACATTGCTAGCAAAATATTCTGTCATAGTTCCTTATTTTCAGTCACAGTAGTAATTATAACTTCTGACCTAAAGTCACAGGAATTTTTTAAAATGCAAGATTGAGTAGGATCTTAAAAAGCTACCTACCCAACAATCTGAGCTTGTCTAGGATCTTGTTTAAAACTGTATAACACTCCACCAGAGAAATTGGAGATCAGATACTAGAAAATGACATCTAAACAAACTGGTGGATGCAGTTTTTCTGTTGTACCTATCTGATAACTTTAACTTTTATACAGTATTCAATTTGGAAATTAAAAAAAAAAAAAAAATTATTTGAAAAGAATCTGAGTATACTGAGTGTACCTCCAAAGTGATATCTCTTTCTTTAATGCCTATGACCCCCATTTGCATAATTTAGTTGTCATAGCTCTTATTTTGTTTTATGCATTTTTCCTTTATACATACCATATCTTATGCATTAAACGGAGTTTTTCAAGGGTAGGTTCCTAGCAATATTTCAGTAACTAGATAGATAGTAGTTATCTTTTGATAGGATTGAATTTAATAACTTAATTGTGTTAGCTATTAAATCATATTTATAATTGGTATGCATTATACCTTTCTCTGGAAACATGAATATTTATAATTAGCTCTGTTTATTCTGTTTAGTGTGTGTATTTACTAATAACATTGATAGACTTTCCAAATTTTAAAAAAATAATATAATTTCAAAAATAATTACTACAGTAATTTCTCTATTGCAGATTAAATAGTGGTCTACAAGGAAAGTGTAATGTTACTGTCATTCAAGTTTTGCTGTTTTCTGTGATAAATATTATGTTGTTAAGTGCCATTTAATCAATTCTGACTCATAATGACCCTGTTTAGGGTTTCCGAGGAGCAGCTGGTGGATTTGAACCATTGACCTTGTGGTTCGTAGTCCAGTGCTAATCCTACAGCACTTTTATCCTTACTTTGGCACATTATTATTGTGGTATGGTGGAAAGAATAGGCTGGACCCAAGGACCTGGGTACTAATCTTATTGTTAAGTGTGATTGAGTTGGTTCTGACCCATAGCAACCCTGTATAGGGTTTCTGAGGAGTGCAATTGAGTGCTTATCCTACACCATGACTCTAGGTACTGGATTTAGTTCTATCATTAACAAAATTCATCATCTTTGGACAGATTACTTTACATTTTAGGGCCTTGGTTTCTTTATCTATGAAATGGGGAGTTGAATTAAATGATTGCTAAGATCTTTTCTAGCTCAGTCTATAAGTACCATAAGTTAAACACATTAACTCACAAGTTCCAGTGTGCTTGAAATAAAATATATAGTGAATGTGAATAGACGTTGATTTCGACATTGGGGTGGGTATTTGACTCCGATTCTTTGGTTCTATAAAGAATCTAATTTATTTTTATGATGGGTTTCTGTGATTGATTTTTGAATGTTAAAATGTGACTAGTAAAACTTTTTTTCCCCCCTTTAATTCAGTGAATGCAGTAGTAGAGCACTATCTATATTCAACAAAGAAGGGTGTTTGGAGATTATATTAAAATATTTAAGTAGGTTTTCCACCAATATTGACCTGGCTATTTCAGTAGGTAAGTGAAGAAAAGATGATAATTTATTAAGTGTGTGTATCCTTATTAAACATTTTTATTCAGATATAGCATGTTTATTCTATAGGAATGATATATTTCTCATTGTTTATAAATGTGTAGCTAAAGAGTTTCTTCTCTTTTAAAATCTGTGATGAATGCTTTGCTTACTCATACTGTTTTCACTGAGAAAGGAAGAAAACATGTGAGCATATGTGGTTTCTAGCCCACTACTGTTTTCAGAAGCTTAAATCTTTAAATTCTTGACATTTTCAGCTCCACTTAGTATGAAACAGTAACCTATAACTAGCAGGACTTTGAGCTAAAGTTAATTGGAATCTAGACTTACTTAAATGTCTCATACCTTATAGTATCTTATACTTCCAGCAGAAAGCTGATAATTTCTCTGTGTTTTTAAGAGAGGAGAATAAGTGATTGAAATTTCACTTAGGCCTACTTCCCTCCTGTGGGTCATAGAAAACAAACTCAAGTAATCTGTTGTTTTGGTTCCCACCCTTCTCTGTATTGAGTTAGAGAGCCATTGGGAGCCCTTAGATAAGCAGAGGGAGGAGGCAGAAATCAGACTGAGTGAGCGATCAACAGAATTCTGTGTGGAATTATAATTGATGAATGTTGTTAAACTGTCATCAAATTAGTTCTGACTCAGAGTGACCCTGTATAGGGTTTCCAAGGAGCAGCTGGTGAATTTGAACCACTGACCTTGTTCAAACCAACTTTGCGGTCGAGTGCTTACCCTATAGTGCCATACCAGGACTCCAATTGATGAATTATAGTATTTTTCTCTAACCATCATAGTAGCAGTTATCCTGTTGCCTTTTTGTTTCTCCTGGCAAGGACAAAATATATTCTCCTTACTGTTGTTTTTCTTGGCTCTAATGGATACATTTAAGGGAAGAGGAAAGGCAAAAAAAAAAAAATGGAATAAATAGTACTGGAGAAAACTCAAAATCAATTTCTTAAATGGAATCTTGACAGTCAGGATATATATGTAAATATAGATTTTAAAGGTGGTTGTGGATAAAAACCAAAAAACAAAAACAAAAACCCATTGCCACTGAGTTGATTCTAGCTCCTAACCTCTCTCTATAGTATTTCCAAGGCCCTAAGTCTTTACAGGAGCAGAAAGCCTTATCTTTCTCCTGAGGAGCAGCTGATGGGTTTGAACTGCCAACCTTGTGGTTAGCAGTGCATTGTTTATCCTATAGCCCAACCAGGGCTCCTATGAAGTTGATAATGATTGTTAAGTGCTGTTGAATTGATTCCATTCATAGTGACCCTGTATAGGGTTTCCCAGGAGTGTCTGGTGACAGGACTTTAATCTTGGAACTGTTTTTGTAAAAGAATTTTAGAAAAGTTAGCTCATAGCTTTTGAAAGAAAAACTTCATTTCTATTTCTTCTAAATCACTACTATTTCTCTGACTTGTAATTTTAGTTATTTTTTAATGTGTGTTTTTCCCCTCATGAACTTTGAAAAATGGATTGTGGTCATTTTACATTGTATAATAGTGTTTCCATTTGCATTTAGTTAGAAATATGATTTACTTAACAAATGTAAAGTAACTTGTTTTGAAAGTCAAGCAAGGCTTAAATATAGTAAAGTGAATATATGATGTTGCATCCTGTATCTTAATATAGCTTGTTTGAACTTGTATTTTCTTTTTCTTTTTTTTTTAAACTGTAATACATATAAGGGGAATTTAAAAAGTTCATGGCAAATAGAATTGAAAGATAAAGGCATTTTTCCATGAGTACTTTGAAGCCCCCCTTTCATATAGGTAGCAAAACATTTGCCATTGCAACAGTCTTCACATGTGCAGTTCACTGACATTAAATATAGTCATCATACTCAGCTGTTACCATTATTGCATTGTCTTTTCATGGTAGTAATCACAACTTATATTAACTTTTTGCCAAAGTGAATTTCAGTTGGCTCTTAATGAAAGAAAATATTATATTCAGTTATATACAAAAGTATTCTGAGAATTAATCTCAATTATACCAGTAGTACATCTTTTGACTAATTTGATGGATGAGATCTATTTTGTGATATTTCGAACTAGAATCAAGTATTTCACAGAAAACAAACCTGGGCTTCCACTTATTTTTATATTTTTAGTGAATTATTTCTAATATCTAGATTGTAATCATTGCCCTGTTTTGTTTTGAGGAAAGGAGTTAAGTGCTGAATAACTCCTTTTCTCAAAAATGCTGTCATTATTAATATTTTACTCATTTCTGAATTTGCTTATGTTTTTATGTAAACATAAGTTTTTTTTTTCTTTAGAACTATTGCTCCATCAGAAATAACCCCAACTTTTAAGGCCATACTGAATTTAAAGGAAGCTAGAATGTCTCAAAATCTAGGGATTGTTATCTACAACAGATTTACTCAGAGTGTGGCCCATGGTATAGATATGGTGGTCCACAGACTATTTGCTACTGGTCCATGATAAGTACAGAAATTGAAGATAAGCCTTTATGAACTTTTATAGTAATTTGTAGGGGATTTGTTAAGTACCATTGAGTCAGTTCTGACTCATGGTGACCCTGTATAGCGTTTCTGACATAAATCTTTGCAGGAGCAGAATTCCTCATCTTTCTCCTGTGGAGTGGCTGGTGAGCTTGAACTGCTGACCTTGTGGTTCGCAGTCCAGTGCTTATCCTACAGAACCACCATGCTCCCTATAGGGGAATGGATATATTTTTTAATGTCTTTTGCAGCATTGATAGTTTAAAAAAACCTAATTTGCATGTACCATCCTGTAAGTAAAAAAAATATACATGTCTAAAGTAGCCTGGAGTGGCTCTGTAGGATAAGCACTGGACTGCTAACCACAAGGTCAGAGGTTCAAATCTACCAGACGCTTCTCAGAACCCTGTACAGGGTCATTATGAGTTGTTGTAGAGGTGCAAATGTTTTTTAATGAGTTGTGTTTTATGAATTATCTTCAGAATAATTGTTTTTAAATCCTTAACTTTTGTTTTTTATAGCATATTGTTTGCAGACTGTGACTGAAGAAAATTCAGAGCTACTGAAATCTTTCAATGCTGCAGGATTTCATGTACTAGAATCAGCAATGCTATCACCTTTTAGTTCTATGGAACACATTCTATTAAAGACATTGGTGTCAGGTAAAATTTAACTATAGTACCTTTTTGGCAACTTAAAAAAACACCTCTTTGTTGTGAATTGAATAAAGGTTTACATACAAGATTATCAGCTTTACATTCAAGAAATCATACATTTTGTTTCATCTCCATATTATAATCCCTACCATGCAACAGCAACCCTGCTTCCTCCCTGTGGTTTCTGTTTGCATTCCACTCACCCTTCCTATCCGTTTTCAACTTTGTCCTTAGAAAAATGTTGCCCTTTTGATTTTGAATGATAGCCCATTCTGTGGTGAGTATACCTTGTTGGTATGGTTGTCACCCCATAAACTTGTCTGTGGCTTGGCTGAAGATTGAGCCACGAGGCTGAGTCTTTACCAGACCTGAAGAGTAGTTAAGGGACATAGTCTCAGGTTCCTCCATGTCTTTTTTGCCAGTAAACCTGGGTTTTGAAAATATTAATTTAAATAATTTTGAGTTCCACATTTTCTACCACTCTGTCCAGGATCCTCTAGTATGACCCATTTCAGGGCAGATGGTAGTGGTAAATGGGCACCATCTAGTTCTTCAGAGTTGTGGAGACTGATGTTCACATGTTCCATTAGTTCACTTGGATTCCAAGCCTTTTCAATTCTTACCACTCTTTTTTTTCTGCACCTGGAGACACCAATAGCTGCATCTTACATGGCCAGTCATGAGCTTTCAAGACCCCGCCACTATTCATCCAAGCAGAGTGTAGAACATTGTCTTTATGGACTATATTGTGCCAATTGACCATGGTGCCCCCTGAAACCATGGCCCTGAGCCCCCTAGCCCAGCACACTCATTGCTATAAGGTGCTTGGTAATATCTAGGAAGTTTTCATCATTTTGCCTGCTGTGTGCTCCACCACGTTCCTAATGCATGAAAGGTAATACTTATGTACAAATATCCTCTTTCAAGCTCTTATATATTGTGGGATATATGAATATGTATGTATATATCCCACTCTTCCACTTTTACTCATTCCACTTATGTCTAAATTCCATACACAGCATACACACAGTGTATTTATCACTACTTCTGTGCCCTTTGGAGTCCTGTTGTGGTACTGTGGGTTAATGCACCAGACTGCAAAGCTGTTTGAACTACAAAGTTGGTGGTTCAAGCTCATCAGTTACTCCCTGGAAACCCTATACAGGGTCTCTATGGGTTGGAACCTACTTGACGGCACTTAACAACAACAACATGCCCTTTAGCTGGTGCATATCTCCCTGTACCTTTGCCTATCTTCATTATTATTCTGCCACCTACCTCTTGTGAATTGCCCTCCCCCTTCTTGTATATTGTCCTCCCCCATCACCTGAACTAACAAATGTCTACCCTCTAGCCAGTGAATTACTCTTCCTTCCCTCACACTCTTGATAACCTTCTGCTTAAAAAAACTATGTGGGGACCATGTTTGACTTCCCTGGCTTCATAAGGGGGAAAGAATTAAGGCCAATTTCTATGAAGTGGAGGTCAGACACGCTTCTGCCCTACAACAGTCTTCACCCTGTTGTGACACCAGCCATTCCTCCCACAACAATCTGTTTCGATTCTGGGTTCGATAATCCATTACAGTGGCCAAATAGAATTCATAACAATACTTATGAATATGGAATTTATTAGGAAAGTGAACAGGATACAATTCAGGATCAAAATCAACTCAGGATGCAGCAGTTTTCTACTTGGGAACACCTCTGTCTGCTGTGCTGCAGGCTCACCTCACTCTTGTCTTTGGCCTCTCAGCCATTGATCTCTTTGCCTCTGCTCTGCTCAGGTAAGCTTTGCAGATCTCTTGTTAATGCCTAAAAGGCACATTCTTCAAGCCAGTCTCCTGCCCATAGCACTGAGCTTTACTCAATCCATGGGTCTGCACTGAAGCTGCTCTGTCTCTCCATGCCACTAACTCTGCTGTTGCCTCTGTTGTCACTGTTTTTCTGGATAGGGGTCTCATGTCACTCATGCTCTTCCTTCTTGATGGTCCTGGGATTTTCTATCTCTGCTTCTGAGATGGCTCCTTTAAAACCTAGCTGGAGAGCAAAGCTAACCTATCCCTGTCCTGTGTACCTTACTTGCGTGGTTCCACCAGTCAGTTGTTGGGAAACAGCAAGACTTTGGATAGAAAAGCCATATCAAGTAAATTCTAGGCATCATAGGCCACCCCTGGATTTTTTTTTAAACCATTAAGAAATGTTTCTTTTAGTATGAAAACCTTTTCTTGAGTTTTTACAATAGCCGTTGAATCGCTTCCAACACATAGCGGCCCTATATGGGGTTTCCTAGCAGCAGCTAGTGAGCTTGAACTGCTGACCTTACAGTTCACATGCCTTTGCAGTCTGATGCATTAATCCACAGCACCACACCAGGAGTCCTTTTATAATAGTGGTCTTTTTTACAGGAGTAATAGGAGTCCTTTTACAATAGTGGTCTCAAACAATTTTTGTCCTTTTGTGATTGACTTATATCACACAGCATTATGTTCTCTGGGCTCATCCATGTTATGAGGTGTTTTGCAGATTCATCGTTATTCTTCAGTGTTGCATGGTAATCCATTGTGTGTATGTATTAAAGTTTGTTTATCTATTCTTCCATTATCTTTGTGCCATTGTGAATAGTTCTGCAATGAATATTGGTTTGCATGTATCTACTTGTATCCTGGCTCATATTTCTTGTGGGTGTATACCAAGTAGAGGCATTTTTAGCAACTTTTAACTTGTAGTAATGGGGACTTATATTACAGTCATTTCTTCATTACATCTGGCCCTCGTATAAGTCAGTTCTGTGCTTATATGCATCTGTTGAAGCTTTCAATATTTTAGTGGTGGTGATGGTGGTTATGTACCGTCCTTAATTCAAGCAGTTCTCCATATTTGTGAAGCCTTCTAGACTAGAATTTGACTGCAGTTTAATGAAGAAATAACGTTTACCAGGATCCCCTCTTATTTATATACTTGTGAGCTTAGAAATTGGTTCTGGGGATCCAACACATGGCCAGTTACTTTTCCATAATTTCTTTACCCACAACACATTTTTTCCCCAGATTTTCTGAATACTACGCAGCACTTAATGGTTTGTTGAGTAGTATGTATTTCATATAGTTTCTTCATTTATTTTCCCTTGTTCTTTGGCCTTGAGTAATTTATCTTGACAAGTATTTTTATTTTTGCAGCCATTCTTTTTTTTTTTTTTTTTTTTTAATCTACTTAGTGGTAACTACAGTTGTTTTTTGATTTAAAAAAAAAAAGAGAGAATTTGCTCTCTGATTTGTACATGAAACTTTGGAATTTTGGTATATCCCATTCTACTCTTGGATTATAAGAAACAATATTTCAGGAGAGCAGCTCAGATTAATTTGTCTTTTCAAAAGAAACCTGATCTATGTTGTTTGGTCTCCTGATGGGTAGTATATCAGCGACTAACTCTGTGTGCTAAGGAAGGGAGATGATTTGAAGGATTATAATAAAGGGAGCTGTCTTTTGAGAGATTTTTAATCTTGCAACTGTCTTTAACCAATTTGTGGAAACTGTACTAAGTAAAATATTTCACAGGTAATTCCTTTGTCCTTATGTTCATTTTTCCCAGGCACAGTTTGGAATCTAAAGGACCTTATTCCTTCCAAGAGTCAGGCAGAAGTCATAAATGCGGTACTAAAGATCCTATCTGAAGTTTTGGAAATGGATGCTAGTGAAACGGTTATTCAGATGAAAGTGGCTGAAAGTCAAAGGTTGAAAACTGCTGCAGAGACAGAGGAACTAATAGAAAATGCTAATGGTGATTCTTTGGTTGAAGATGATGAAGTGGGAGAAATTCCTCATAAAAGAAAAGCCAGACAGAAGACTTTCATTTCAGATTTACTTCCAGTAAGTCAGGTTGATGCATTTAAACATGAGTTTATAACACTGTTTTCCTTCATTGGTGTCCTTAGCTTTATAGAAGATATTTACAGCAAAATTAACCATAAAGTGAATTTCAGCAAAAATCAGTCATATTTCATTAAAATATTAGAAGTCTCATTAAAATACTAGAAATCTCCCAAAAGGTGCGAGGGGCATTTTGTCTAAAATGAAATATATAGATTTCAAACATGAGATGATGTTGTTAAGTGTCATTGAGTCTGTTCTGACTCATAGCAACCCTGTATAGGGTTTCCAAGGAGTGGCTGGTAAGTGAATTGTCAGCCTTGCAGTTCAAACTGACTTTGCTTATCCTACACCAGCACCACTTCGGAAATGTGATCATCTCTCCAACTCTTATTATGTGTCCCACTTTGGATACATTGTATCCCAGTCTCTCTTTAAGTTAAAGGAATTTTTACTTTGTTTTTATTGTCTCTTGCATTCTTGTTTCTTTTTTTATTGTACTATGTTTGAGCCCTTTTTTGCAACCACTGTATTAATCCACTTCATTGAGGGTCTCCCTCATTTTTGCTAACCCTCCACTTTATGTCCTTCTCCTGGGACTGTGATCTTTCCTGATGACATGTCCAAATTACGTGAGGTAAAGTCGCACTCTGACTAGCCATTTCCAAATTTTTCTATTACCTTTATCAAAAACTTAATGCCCTCTAAGTAATGACTCCTTTCCATCTCCTGCCTGCTCCTGGTAAATATGAATAAACTTTGATCTTTATGTGTTTTCAATTCTAGATATTTCATATCAGTAGGATCATATGAAGAGGTTTCAAAAAGTTTGTGGAAAAATTCCATTATCTTTTGAATCCATTTTCCTGCAAACTTTTTGAAATCTTTTCATACAGTATTTGTCCTTTTACGACTGATTTATTTCACTCAACATAATGTTTTTAAGGTTCATCCATGTTGTAACATTAGAATTTCATTTCTCTGTATGACTCAATAACACTCTTGTATGTACGTACCATATTTTGTTAATCCATTCATTAAGTACTTTGTCCAGAGTGATTGGTTTGTTTGTCTTTTAATTTTTAAGTGTTCTAAATATTTTCTGAAGAACCCTTTTCAGAGATTTGGTTCCTCCCAAAGTTTTCCTAATCTGTAGGTTATTTCTTCACTTTATTGACAAAGCCCTTTGATGAACTTACTATTTTGATGAAATTTAATTTACCAATGTTGACTTTTGTTGTCATATCAAAGAATCTATTGCTAAATATTAAGTCCCAAAACATTACTCCTATGTTTTCTTTTAAGAGTTTTAATGGTTTTAGTTCTTAACATTGTGGTCACTGGTGCGTTTGGATTAATTTTCACATGAAGTATGGCATATGAGTCCATCTTCATTCTTTTGCGTGTGAAAATCCAGTTGTCCCAGCATCATTTATTAAAGTGATTTTTCTTTCTCCATCCAGTGGTCTAAGTACCTTTGTTGAAAATGAGTTTACTCTAGATATTGTTGTTGTTAAGTGCCTTCGAGTTGGTTCCGACTCATAGCAACCCTGAACAGAGTTTCCGAGGCTGTAAATCTTTACGGGAGCAGAAAGCTTCATCTTTCTCCAGCGGAACAGCTGGTAGTTTCCTACTGCTGACCTTGCGGTTCACAGCCCAATTCGTAACTACTTTGCTACCAGAGCTCCTTTGACTCTAGATATGGGTTCATTACTGACTCTCAGTTTATTCCATTGGTCTGCATATTTATCATTATACCAGTACTGACCTTTTTTTAAAAAATAGTTTTTAATAATTTAACTTTATAGTATGTTTTGAGATGAGAAATGTGACTCTTACTACTTTGATCTTCACATTCTTGTTTCTTATTTTAGTACTTAGCCTTAATAAGTGGTAAGTCAAACTTTCATTTACCTACAGCTGCTGAGCATGGGAGGTTGGGTGATTAGCAGAGCTAATGACAGTTTGTAGTTTTTGTATACTGGTGGTTATACCATATTTGTGCTATTGAGTGTGATGTTGACACAGGGATGAGCTGTCTTAGATCTAGGAATTATTTCAGCCAAACTAGTTAACAGAAAAGTCAGACTTTGGAAAAATATTTCCTTAAGGAGCAGGTGAAATAACAGAAAGATGGTGGGGTCAGTTGGGCTTTATTCATTCAGGTGCTCATTTATTGCACCCCTCTGATGTACCATGCACTGTACTAGCTGCTGAAAAAAAAAACATGGTTAAGACATGTTTCCTTTTTTCATGAACTTCCCGTTTTTAGGGAAGATAGGCATATAAATCATAATTATAATGCCTTTGTGAAGAACAATTAAGGAGCTGTGCACCAATTTCTAAGGAGTTGTTTATATAGAATAGGCTTGTTTAACTTATCCCCGGTAGGAGATGAAACGAAGAGATTGTCAGAGAGGCCTTTTGAACAAAATGCCTGCAATATCTTAAGAATGAGGTAGGTAAGAAAAAGTATGGTGAGGCAACTTAATGTTTACAGAGATCACTTGGGCCAGGGAGAATATAAAGAGGTAGGGAGATCAGTAAAGAGACTACTGAAGTCATTTTGAAGAATGTTAATGAAGTCTGAAATGGAAGACAAGGTAATAATAGCCTCTCATTTTTTTCTACAATTTCAGGAGTAGTCTACCTAAGTCATAAAACAAACTGCATAGTGTTTTAAGCCAATGTCTTAGAATTTTGATAATTTTTTACCTAATAAGAGTTCTTTAAATGGAATATACTTGAAAATCGAGTATTATAGTGCTTTTTGGTGTTCATGAAGTCTGGGGAAGTATAAATCGGTGGTGTTTTAGAGAAATCAGTTGTTTTTTCCTTATAAATATCCATTGGATCCAAAGCGTGTTAAATTCTGGTAGGATGCAGAAATGAGAAGACCATATTCTTGAGTGACTTGAAAATAGCACTAATTATAAAGTGACTTAAAAATAGCACCAATTTTTGTGCAGGGGCGCAGATACTGGAACCCCACATATTGCATCAGACTACACCTGAATTTAGTAAGTTGTAATCAGCTTGACATCCAGTGGGTTTGTTTGGGGTTTTGTTTTTGGTAAAGATGATAAAGGCACAGTTGTGTTTTTTGTCCTCCAAAAGGGATGTTTGTTTAAAAAACAAAGCAAAACCTAGCTCCCTAATTTCTTCAGGAATTCTTAGGAAGGTTAAATTTTAGATATAGACTGGGTTTTTTTCAAATTGATATGTGGAAAGTTGGGGTATGATACATCAGTGCTTTGAGACTCTTTTCCATGTCTTTGCATTGTAACGGTGGATCAGGTCTCAGTTTTTCCAAATAGGTGCAGGCATAGCATGTTTTACTACTCTGCATTCCTGTCAGAGCAGAAAGGGATAGTACAGTTCTACTATCAGGGAACTCATGCCTATGAAATCCCTTACAGAGAAAAGGGGAAACTGGCATTCCCAGATAATTTCCTCCATCTCCATCCTTGCTTCCAGGGTACTTCTAAAGTGAGCAAGAGGAGATATGACCCATGTCTGTCAAGATCAAAATAGGAATTGCCACTGTTTGAAAACTTGATTTTTAATGGTTATTTAGTGATTTACTTTTTTTTTTTTAATTTAAGGTTTTTATTGTGGATTGAGTGAAAGTTTACAGGGCATAGTATCAGTTTTACATTCAACCAAACATGCATCTTGTTTCATTACAATGATTATAATCACCTCCATGTACCATCAGTTAACAGTATTTCTCTCTATCCACTTTAGCTTTTTAAAGAAAAACAAACAAAAAAACCACTCAGGCATATATAATAATTTACATCTCCAAAGGGCACATTCTGTAAGTCTGCATCCTGGCCATCAGCTCTCAGTCCTTCTCTTCTTAGTCCATGAATCTAGAGTCCTCAGCCACTCCCCCTCTCCATGCCCCCATCTCGTCTCTGTCTCCATCTGTGGTGCTGCTGCTTCTCTGGATAAGGTCCTGCATTCTGCTTGTGCGTTCCTCTCTTTATGGTCCTGGGTCCTCTGTTTCAGGACTGTAAGATTAACCACTCCCCTTTTTTTGTTACAAAACTTCTACCTTTACAATTGTGACAGTCACAATTAGTCATGATAACAATTATTCACTATTGAATCTTACGAATCTTAACCCCATCTCTTTTCACCAGACCCATCTATACAAGGTGACAGCTATTCAGTGGGGACTCTTTCTTTCCTCCCATACTCTTAAACTAAACTCCCTCTTGAAACCTTGTGCCAGTCACTTGGTGCCTATATTGCCCCCTCATTTTAGGTATCCAATGTCTAAGTTGCCCATCCCTATCTACCCTGTGTACAGAGGGGATAGCATTGATACTAGATGTGAAGACTCTTTCCCTCTCTGTTGGTATTTAAAGTAAGTAAAGGTCAGGTTCATCAAACAGAAGCAATTTACCCTTGTTTCCTTTATCAAAAAAAAACAACAAACAAAACTTTTTATTTCTTTCTTTTCAGTCTTCCTCTAGTCGAGTTCTGATTATCTAGCCATCTTGTTGTTGTTGTTGTTGTTAAGTGCCATCGAGTCGGGTCCGACCCATAGCGACCCTGTACAGGGTTTCCGAGGGTGTAAATCTTTACGGGAGTAGAAAGCCTCATCTTTCTCCCGCGGAGCGGCTGGTAGTTTCGAACCGCTGACCTTAAGGTTCGCAGCCCGATTCGTAACCACTACGCTACCAGAGCTCTAGGTCAAAAGGGTACTGTATGCAAGTTTGGATGTTATTGTGCATCTCCCCTCACTTCCTATTAGCTGGATGCTTCACTCTCAGCACTAGCCCTATGGGGCTATGTCCTTGTCCATGGGCTCAAGTGTCCTCAAGTCTCACCACACTTTGGACCAACCAGCCCTTCCTCTTCTCTCTCTCATCCCCAGGTAAACAGGATTCAATGTACTTGGGTTGAGCTCAGCCCATTTCTTCATTGATGCCTTCCTGCCTCTTCCACTCACCAGTAAACCAGTGTGGTATCCGGAAAGCTTACATGCT